TGTGGGGGGGGACGCGGGCGCCCGAAGGCCGGAGCCGCCACTCGCCGGTCCTGGAGTGTGTGAGGGGGAGCGAGGCGATCGCCCGAAGGGCAGTTGCCAGGCCGGGATTGCGTGCGAGAGCAAGTCATTTCACCGGGCTGGGACTGTGTGAGGGGGGCGACGCGGGTTCCCGAAGGCCGGAGCCGCCACTCGCCGGTCCTGGAGTGTGTGAGGGGGAGCGAGGCGATCGCCCGAAGGGCAGTTGCCAGGCCGGGATTGCGGGCGAGGGGCAAGGCGGGCGAGCGGAGGCTGCTGCCGTCGCCCATGTTTGAGTGGGCGCTGGGGAAGGCAGCTCACTGAATCAATAGTGCCCTCGTAATCCTCTTCATCGAGCAAAATGAAAATGGCGTCCGGTGAGGTACACAGTCGCAGCAGTTGTGGTGTGGGCGGGACCCGGGCTTTGCCTTCTGATTGCCATTTTCCTAAATTGGATTCCCAAGCTGTCACCTTACTATTGTACGCAGATGATGCGGTAGTGTTACCCTGCACCCAGTCCTCTTTTACTTTTATATCATACTGTGAGACCAATCTTCTGTTCATTTTGAGAAATTAAAAAATGGTGTTCTCAAGGAACTGGAGATGCTTTAACTGGCGTATTAAAGGCAACGCCATTGAACAAGTCAAATATTTTTAATACCTAGGAGTTCCATTCCAGTATAATAATAGTTGGACAACTCAAAGGAAACAAGTAATAAGCTTGGCCAAATATAGTTTGTCCACGATTGCTAGGTTTTTCTATGTGAAGTAGGTTTGCCAAGTGTACTTACCCTTGCTGGCGGGGGAGACTTGCCGGGCTCCGGGAGGTCTCCCAGGACGTGCGCGCACGCCACCAGCACATCACAGGAAGTGACATGCTACGTCGCTCACGTGAGCTATGTGGCTGCGTCACCTCTGCTGACGCAGCTTCAGGGGGCGGAGTTCCCCCTGAGGCTCAATTCTGCCACGGCGGAAATCGGGCCTCCAAAACGGGGTTTTCCCCGCCCCCACTTGGCAGCCCTAATGTGAAGGGTAATCATTTTTTTCTGGCAGCAAGTCTTTAATGCCAAAGTGGCATCTCAAATACTTTATGGGATCCCAATCTGGATTGGTTCCTTGAATCAACAAGTTGAGCAGACCAAAGCAATGTTTTTGCATCATATCTTTGGGGTTCCAAACTGTATAAGTTATGTGTCCATGTGCTTGGAGACAGGGCAATGTCTCCTAGAAACGAGAGCTTGGCTCTCGACATCGACATTCTAGTTACACCTCCGTTATAGGGCAGAACCCAGGAGCGATATCCGTTTGGTGCTGTCAGATTCAGTCTCTCATCTAACTGATCACACTCAATTCTGAGAAAAATACAATTGGTATTCCTTTTGACTCCTTTCTTATGTTAGATGAATTCCAAGTATTTAGATCTCTGAAACAGAGAGCTTTGGACATTAAAAGACAAACTCTTCAGTCTCTTGCAGGCACAACATGTTCCCCTTTGGAGTTTAATGTAACATCCAGTTATGGGCTTTCAGCTGCTTATTTCTCACAACTTACTGCCCCACAATTATGTCAAACTTTCATGTTTGCATGATTCAGTGTCCTTCCATCAGCGGTTCTCTATGGGAGATATATGAATGTTCCTTACCACGAAAGGATCTGTCTATGCAGCAGTAAAAAACCAGAACCGATTGCTCACATTTTGCTCCACTGTGAACTTTAAGTTAAAGTATGGGACGTTTTGATTAGTCCCCTTTTGCCCAACAGCATAGCTATTCAGAAGAGGGGCTTGTCTCCTTCCTTTTATCGAACCAGTGTCCCCATATTACCTTCTCAGTAGTGAGGTACTTCTCAATTGTTATGAGGATTAGAGAATATAATGTTAAAGTTCTGGAGGGGTGATTGTCTTTTGGATATTAAAATTGTGGTTCTTGTTATGCTTCCATTCTGTGCCAATAAAGGTACTGAACTGAATTGGCTTCAACCTAAAACTGATGGTGATAGTTTGTTACAGCTGAACACCATGGGCTGTAACAAACTATTGGGTAGTGCTGTGCAAATGAGTCCTACGATCTTCATCATGCATGATATTACAAGTCAATGACTGACTTCTGATTTTGCCCAAACCATAATTCAGTGTTCCATCTTAACCAGCAAACTATGGTTTGTTATTCCTTACTGACCCAGGATTGGAAACAAGCTTCAAGCTATGGTTTGCAATCCTGCTTTGGAGGGAAAGCACAGCCTCTTCCCACATACATATATTTTCCTTCAATGGAAGGGCCACTTAAGTTGAAGCAAGGCTCCAACTTAGGATATGTGCCGTTGTATATCAACGGTCATGCAGAGGGACAATCAATGAAAAACACAAGATCCACGGTTTTAGTTCCTCCCACTGGTTGTCATAAATCAGCAAGTGTGCTGTAGCGGTTCTAGGAAACTAAAATTGAACCCCCAGTCTGCCATGAAAGCTCACGAGCCAGCGACCCTCTCAGCATAATATACCACACAGGTTTATTGTTGTGAGGTTAAAATGGAGGGCAAGATGTGTTATTGTAAGCCTCTTTGGATCCCCATTGGGGTGAAAAGTGAGATAGAAATTATGCCTGTAAAAGTTCCCCTCTAGCATTAACCCTCTTATTTCTCACTGTTCTTATGCCGTATGGGGTCCAAAAAAGGAAATTTCCCCCAAGGTTAGGCTCCCTTGGCAGAGAAATCAACAGGAGTATCAGCTGAGAAGTATGGTAGATGGCACAGGGCCATGACGTACAACACTAATACAGTGGTTCTCAAACTTTAGCTACCAAAGGATTCTCATTTTGAATTAAAGTCTTTTCTGGATCCTCAGACATTTCCTTTCCCCCTTGCTGGTGCCTTATACCCAAGATCCCCCTTTTAAAGTGCACACAGCAAGCCACAAGGAGGCTTGTATCCTTAAAACAAGACAGATAATCATATCATTATTTTAAAACACATGTAAATAAAGTGTGTTGTATTGTTGGTACCTGATCTACAAGGTCAGATATCAGAGAGCTACAACTCAGCACAAAGACTCTAACCCAAGTTTTAATCTATTTTACCCCTTTGATAGGAAGGGACTGTGTGTCAGGGATAGTAAGAAACTTCCTGCTTAGTTAATAACTTCTAAATAGAAGTGCAAAGGGGTCTGGGAAACCTTTGCACTTCTATTTAGAAACTCATAGAAATAGAACAAGACCAGCATCACACAAAACCTGAAAGTTCTTGTATTCAATTCAAAATCACGATGGTCTATGGGTGCAGTGTATTAACTTTCTTTCTGCATGATGGCATACCACAAGATCCTGTCTTGTACTGAGTCCAACCATTGGTCTACCAAGGATGACATTATCTACTCTGACAGGCAGTAGCTCTCCAGATTCTCAGACAGATCTAGAGCGGCGGGGAATTGAACCTGGGACCTGCTGCATTGTATCACTGAGTCATGGCCCACCTTTGCTGTACCTTCCACTGTCTGGAAAGGCAAATTACAAACAAGTAAAATAAAAGAATATGTTACTGTACAGTTTTATAGACCACATTACAGTTTGAAAAGAAACTGCAGAACATCAAATGGTGAACCTAGTCAATGTAATCTGCCACTGGCAACACTGGTCTCCACACTGTGATGGTGCCAAGTAAATAAATAACATTCAGAGAATCTTGTTCCGGCTAGAATCTATCCTCCTGCCCCTCTATTAATTCCCAAAGGTAATTTTCAGGAATTTGTTACTTGTTTTCATATTCTGTATTCTGGATCATTACTCTAGGCCTAACTATTTCATCTACAGCAAGTGCTAGCTCACTTCCAGTAGGGCCTCCAATCCAAAGAGACAGAATCTATGACTTTTCTATGGTTCATTCGAGCTGAACTCTTTCTAGCCCTCTTCTACTCATTTCCATGGTTGGGGTTTAAGAATGTGGGACCAGGGTTCTTTCACATTCTGACATTAACTCTGAGAGGTAGGTTGGAACTTGAATTAAAGCTAGGGAGCCCAATTGTTCTTCTCTCTAGACCTCTGAAAACAATAAGCAGTAGGGGAGGGTCTCCCTTCTGTATGTGTGTATATATGGGTGTGTGTGTTCTTATTACATGTCTTAAGGCAGAATTCATGTGTGTGGGTGTGTTTTCTTATACAGAAATTATCTATGTGTGAAACAGCCCTTATTTTTTCGACAGGGCTTCTTTTGGAAGATACTCAGTCATTACACTATCTTCCCGCATGGATCCAAAGTAAATTATGGAAGAACAGTAGGCCTTACCTGTTTTGTGAACTCTCTTTGTTTTTATAGACACAGCAATGAGCAACTCAGATTCTTCGGTTCCAGCTCATTCAGCAGAACATCAAGGTACTATAAAGAAGGAAAATTAGATACTGTCTGGATAAAAGAACTGTTCATGTTGCTCAGTTAAACACAAACACCACAGCAGTCAATTGTCTCTGGAATGTCAGTGAAGATAGAGTTGACTGTTGTTGTATGCCCCCGTCCCCAGTGTTTTGTAGTCGGGTGAAGTGTCTCCTCCAGTTTTAACTATTGTGGCCTAATTCACAAATGCCATTTAAGTTGCTTCCATAAAGATGATTAGCTCTTCCTTTCCTTCCTCACTACAAATTGGCGGGAGGGGGGAACTTCAACATAACATTGTTGTGTGCAACTGTTCACTTTCTAGTTTTCCCCTGCCTCATGGCATTTTCTTCCAGACCTGCTTTGGTATAATCTTTTCAGAAAGACTGTACTCAAAGCAGTTTTGGTCACCATGTGGCCCAAATGGGTATAGATTTTTCGCACTTCCCCTCATTCATTGGCACAGTCGATGCACAACAAGGAACTGTCCCCATGTATAAGCAGACTTGAAATGTTTCTCAGCCCTTCTATTGGTATGCACATTTGAAAGATAGGAAGCCAGTTTGGTGTAGTGGTTAAGTGCGCGGACTCTAATCTGCACTTATTCTAGATTCCTGAATATGAGTGTGCCTTAGAATTGATTTACAACCGCATTTAAGCTTTCTCGTGTGTCACAGTGCACATATCTTTTTCGTCTATAGCTGTCTGTAACTATTCTTCATTAATATATTTTTAAATTTAAACGTCTTTGTGAACATACTACTCTCTGACTAAACTAGTCATACTGATAGGAACCCTTGCCCTCTGTTAAGAGTTGCCAGGCTCCAAGTGGGGATTGAAGTTCTCCTGGAATTTTGACTGATCTCTCCTTATATATAATTGAGTAAGGAGAAAAATGGCAGCTTTGGAGGGTAGACTCTATGGTATCACATCCCTGCTGAGGAACTTCCCCTCCTCAGTCTCCACCCTTCCCAGGCTCTGCCCCCAAATCTCCAGGCATTTTCCTGCCTGGAGCTGACAACCCTTCCCTCTATGTACTTGACATTTAAGTGGTAACAGTAGCAAGATATTAATTTAGGTGCACAACTGAACCACTAAACCACACAATTTGCACTGTGCAAACCAATATGACCACTTATTTTACTGCTTTGTTGGTCTTGTTTCTTGAGCCATCACCACAGCTCCTGATTTTAAATAGTGTGACGCATACATTGGTCTTGAGTAATTAGATAAGGCATTTCTGCCTCCTCCCTGGCAAATTCCGATATGATATGAGTACATATGGTCACATACACACCAATTGTACAATTGGGAATTGTAGCATTGGTTAGTACCGGTACAGTTATTAATGACTCATTATTGTTGAATTGTGGGTCCCCAGAGTTGTTGACGCTGTGGACACTTTTGAAATGCTGAGAATGGGTAGTAGGGCACCACCACAAAATGGCTGCCCTGGGACTGGGAAACAGGACTATATACAAAATGGTCACTGTGGAGGTGAGGACAATAAAACAGTTGGCATTTTCCATGTCAGTGATGGGAGTCAGCTGTTTTTGAATGAAGTACCCCTTGTAGACTTGAAGATGATGCTTCCTGGGGCCTTTTAAAACACTTCCTGCTTCAGTGATGTAGAGGAAAGCATGGACTGGTCCTTTGGAGAAGAAGCAAATGGACACCCACAAATACCTTGGCAAGCAGCATGGTGTTTACAGGTCCCGCACTGGGGATCGCTGGTTTAAAGCAAGGGCTCTGTTACCAGCAGAAATGGGAATACCTTCCTTGCTCATTGCTCTGTTTTCACCTGCACAAAACTTTAATTAACCACCCATGGTATAATTTCTTTCTATAACAGATGGAAAACGAAAACGAGTTAAAAAACCAAAATCTCAAGAAGATGAAAGTGTGGCTGGGGAGCTGGAAATGCACAGTCAACCACAAGGTAGCAAAAAGGGGGGGGGGCTTTTATTTGTCCATGGAATATGGAGCCAACCTAGATGATGTGGTAAATAGCCTCCTGATTAGGGTCACCAACATCCAGGTGGGGCTTGGAGATCTCTAGGAAAGACAACTGCTCTCCAGACTACAGAGACCAGTTCCTCTGGAGAAAATGACTGCTTTGAAGGGTGAACTCCATGGCATTATACCCTGCTGAGGTCCCGTCCGTCCCTAAACCCTCCCATTCCCACAATCCACCCCCAAATCTCCAGGGATTTCCCAACCCTGAATTGGCAACCCTTCTCCTGACTTAAAAATAAATGTGAAATGCAGCATTAGAGACTGTGATTGCATAAAAATGGCAGGGGTGCCCTTCCTGCATTTTTTCCACTCAAATTCCCTCTCTTCTAACTGCTTTCTAGTGTTGCCAGGGTCAGCCTGGCAACCAGCAGATGGAGCATGGAGACACGAGGAGCAGCCATCAGAAACAGCCTGATATCAGTTCTAGGGGAAACCCAGCAGTGACATCACACCTCTCTGCAAATCACCAGAAACTGTATGGTAAAACCTAGAGAGGCATTTTGTCATCCCCCCCCCCAGTGGAAAAAGAATTTCCTCAACCATTACATATAGAAAAGGGGGGTTCGTTGTCAGGAAGGGCCAATTACAGTCACTCTAATGGGCCCTTCTTGGCAACTAACCACCCGTCTTTCTATATGTATGGACGGGTAAATTCCATACATATGGGGTGTGTGTGCGCGTGCACACGAAAGCTTATACCTTGAATAAAATTGTGTTGGTCTTAACGGTGCCACTGCACTCAAACTTAGTTCTCCATCATGTAGTAAAGCAAAGCTTCATACAGTTAAACATACAGGAATAACAGTATCTCTGAGTTTAATTAAATAACTGTTTCTTGTTTGACTTTGTGATACGTCAACTTCAGGTGCTCTTCCCAGTCTACCAAGGTGCTAGAAACCCGTTCCAGCAACACACTGGACAACCTAGTAACTAAAGTATAATTTGCACTTTAAAAGACATAGCCCCACAATAACAATTATTGTTTTTTAATCTTTGTGGTTTGTACAGTTTTATTGGATTTTATTATTATACCTGCCTTTTGTCCTGAGTTGGTCAGGAGAAAGGCTAGTGTTTAAATATTTTAAATAAATAATACCAATTATACTAAATCTAATTTTCTCCTTCATATATATATATATCCCAGAAAATCCCATCCATCTCTCCCTGCCTCTCCACTTGGTGATTCTGATCCTGCTTAGCAAAATCTGCTAATTCCTGATTTTCCCAGCTAACCATTCTGAGACTTAATACTCATATCAATCCACTGAAAGGTCTTCCAGGAGAAATCCAGTCGTGCAAAACCTCATTCTGCAAGTTGATACAATAGTAGCAGAGAGTCTAGGTGCTATTTACCAACAGCATACCTTGAAAAGGTTTCCTTGCTTTTTTACCAGAGGCAGGACAGAACACTAAACAAATAAATTGGCTAACTCTTCTGTATTTGTGCATCATTTTAGATTCACCCAAAGAAATTGTTCCATACAGTGGATCAGGTATGTACTCTGAAATCACATCTGTCAACAACATGGTATCAGCAAAGGAAGGGTAACACTTCACACATACATGCAGTAACACAGACGAAGCACCAGTTTTAAATCTGGATGGAGAGCAATTTGGAGCACACAACTGACAGGAAAGGAAGGGGCAAGATAACCCCTTCCCTGGTGTGCTCTTCTTTTAAAACAAAGCCTTGTGGGGAAGGGGACATTGTCACATGGGTTTGTTATGTAAGTTCACAGTTATCTCCTAAAAGATACATAGAAAGTAGTAAAAGTCACTATGAGCAGAAAGGAATTCATTACCAACAAAATGTTGCGACGCTCAGTCAAAACATTTCATGCACATACAATTTATAATTAAAGTTGGTACCAGGTTTAATGCTCTGGGAGTTCTAAAAAAAGAACGTATAATCCATTTTCAGCCCTTGTTGTACAACTGCTTAAATGAATGTTTATTAGTTTTAAATTTTATTTAAAGCTTTTCTTAACCACATTTCTTCTTTACGGAGCTCAAGGTGGCTTATAGGTTTCGAAATACCCAACAAATTAGAGAGAGGGGGTTTGGAATACCCAACAAATAGGTTTCGGAATACCCAAATAAATTAAAGAGAGAGGGGGGATCATATCACATACTACTTCCACATTTGTTGTTGTTGTTGTTCAGTCGCACAGTCAAGTCCGACACATGCAAAATGTTTTTTTTTTGTTTACTTACATATACCATACAGTTACATGAACCATCTCACCTGGATTAGCTCGAGTTCTTGTACATGCCTTGATCAAATACATTTGATGACATATAATATATAAAGCACCCATGACTACAGTGTTTCAAAACACAAAAGGAAGATTTGTGACCATGTTGAGAAATAAAAAAAGAAATGAAGCTTGAAGAAAGCATCTACAATTTTCTTGCTGCCTTTTTGATATTTCACTCTTTTGTTGCTCCCTCTAGTGGTCACAGAAACTTATTTTCACTTGCCTTTATCTAACACTACTGGTTGCACGAATAAATCACTTGCTGGGAAGGTCTGATGAGTGAGAAGAAACATTTTGGCAATACTCTACTATTTGTTTCTGAAAATGTTTGTCTCTTCTCTGTGCCTTGTTGTAAATATGACAAATGTCACTGAAGCTTTTTACCCCAAGGAGATGCCTTCTTTTGTGATAGAATATTGTGCTGTTGTTTTTCAGAGGTAATGGTCAGAGATGGCACAAGCACAGATGGTAAATATCAATTGCAGAGTGCAAAGATGTGTTGTTAATTACATGTACATTTTAATTTTCATATGAATATGATTGCCAGTTACCAGTCTGGAATATGAAAGTGTAAACACCGAACTATCTGCCTTGTGGTGACTCACTTTGTCTCCCTTCAGAAAGGATTCCATATATTAAAACAAAACCTGTACTGTTCATACATTGGATGTTTATGGAGGGAAGTATTCTCAGACTGGACTGGGCAACTGAGTCATGCTTGTCTTTATGGCAGGCCGTTCCCCTTTCTCCAGACAAGTTAATATTCACTTTGTTAACTCCTAGATAAAGGTCTGCAGTTTTGGAAACCAGTGGTGGCCTTGTTTGCTTACCATCAAATCAGATCTAGTTGTTGTCAGGGTCAAGTCAGGGGGTAAATATGCTAATGTGTATCTTCTGCCTCTTGTGAAGAGCCTTCAGTGGGCAAACTTAACAGACAGGCTACGTAGCACTGTTAGTCATACAATGTGCTGCAAAAGATTAGTAAAGCTGTTTCAGAGTGTGTGCTTCAAACACTAGTATTCCACCATGTAACACTGGGAGACAACAGGGAGCTATCTGTCTTATGCCTACCATACACCCATCGTAATTTATTTGATTCTTCAACAGTTTTCAGAATTGCCTAATCTACTCACAGAGTATTATTATATGGAGCTGCGGTGGCTCAAGTGGTTAAGACACTGAACTGCAGGCTGTGGAAGGTCGGTAGTTCAGCAGTTCGAGACCCAAGTATGCTGCATGACGGAGTGAGCTCCCGTCTCTAGTTCCAGCTCCTGCCAACCTAGCAGTTCGAAAGCAAGAAATTGCAAGTAGATAAATAGGTACCACTTCGGTGGGAAGGTAACAGCATTCTGTGCGCCTTGGTGTTTAGTCATGCCGGCCACATGACCACGGAAATGTCTTCGGACAGCGCTGGCTCTTCGGCTTTGAAACGGAGATGAGCACCGCAACCCTAGAGTCGGATTTGACTGGCTTTCGAGCAAGGGAACCTTTACCTTTATTATTATTATAATATGAGAAATTTCCAGCCTATTATGAACATCATATAATGGTCTTCAGTCAGTAGCCCCTGGACCAAACCACGTGGTCAGCTAAAGAACCATCTACCATCACAGTTCCAAATTACTGCTTCTGTTCACATGGTTCTCCTGTTTTGCTTAATTGCTCACCAAAAAAAGGATAACTAGGATATTTGGAGCTAAACCTAGAAGATGGCAAGAAAATGTATGGAATTGGGTAAGAAGTGATATGTTGGTGTACAACATCTACATTTAGCCTCAGAGTGTATAAGCGAAGGATAATTAGGATATTTGGAGCTAAACCTAGAGGATGGCAAGAAAATGTATGAAATTGGGTAAGAAGTGATATGTTGATGTACAACATCTACATTTAGCCTCAGAGTGGCTGTAGGCAAATGTAGCTACTACCTAGCTCGCAAAGAAATCTAGCCAAATAATCCATTGGCCACACTGACATGTTACAACTTCAACCCCTGTACTTAAGTTAAAATGATTAACCATAAATCTGCCTATTATTTTTAATTCAAATTTAATTTTGTGTAGTATCTGAAAATGGAGCCTGCCACTTGACTGAACATCCAAGGTGGTGGATACGAAAAGATGGTAAGTATTTAATTGGCCCTAAAGCTGCGGTGGCTCAAGTGGTTAAGACACTGAACTGCAGGCTGTGGAAGGTCGGTAGTTCAGCAGTTCGAGACCCGGGTGTGCCGCATGACGGAGTGAGCTCCCGTCTCTAGTTCCAGCTCCTGCCAACCTAGCAGTTCGAAAGCAAGAAATTGCAAGTAGATAAATAGGGACCACTTCGGTGGGAAGGTAACAGCGTTCCGTGCACCTTGGTGTTTAGTCATGCCGGCCACATGACCATGGAAACGTCTTCGGACAGTGCTGGCTCTTCGGCTTTGAAACGGAGATGAGCACTGCAACCCTAGAGTCGGACTCGACTGGCTTTCGAGCAAGGGAACCTTTACCTTTACCTTTAAACATGGAAACCTTGCTCAACGTGAACCCTAGCTAAATCACAGAGATCTATCTGTTTAAAATATTCAGCCCTGGAATTCTAAAGTAATACTGAAGAGCATGTATAGAGTGCTTTTGCTATCACCATTATATAGTCAGACTTAGATCATAGACTAAGCACTTCCAGGTAGGAAGTCTTTAGCAAATGAACACTAAATATGCTGTACTGTTTTTAGCAATTAACCTTTGAATATGCTCTTAACTTGGCATCTCTAACCATGTATGAATAAGGCATATTCCCATATGTTAAATAATACATATGGTGAAGAGGTTTGCTGATTCAATATTCCAGTCTGGAAGTTAATGCATCTGGAACAGATACATAAATAATTTATTTTGAGTGCTGTTACTAGCAGCATGTGTCTTTATTCCCTAAACTACTGGAACAATGACAGCTTCCATTCCTCCCCCAAAAGGAAAGTTTTATGTTTCAGGTGGTTCCTGTTTTGTTTTTGAGATTTCAGTCATTAAATTTGGTGGTGGTGGGGTTTGCCACTTTGCCATTTGCAATTTAATTTCCTGTGTCTTTTCCCCCCAGATGAATTTTTCCATTTTGTCATTGTTTGCTTTGCGGTTGGAACTTTATTAGTTTGCTTTTACAAATATAAAGGTAAGTCAAAACTGTAACGTAGTGATTACAGTTCTAGTGACTAATGAACAAAATTGACCGTATACGTGTTCTAATTTTCAGACTGGACCATTTCTGTTGGTGTTGGTTTGATTACCTTTGCAGCCTTGGAAACAACTGGGATATATTTCGGCTTAGGTAAGTGTACCACATTATATAGCAAAATAAGCTACTTGATGTATGAGGCCAAATTAGACATGATGCTGTCCGTGGGTCTGACCTATGGATGCTGCCACTTTTTAAAAGGGATTAAAAATTCTGTGAGGGCCTAGTCCTAATCAGCCCCCCTCTGCGTGCGTTTTTAAGTGTTGAAAAAGCTGTGGAGGGGTGGCAGCCATTCTGGCACTTGCAAAGGCATTGGGGGATGAAAATGCCTGGCCTGCCATGCTGTGGGCCTGATCAGGATTGGGCCCTCGCAGCATTTTTAATCCCTTTAAAATGGCATCACATCTAGGTTCACCCTGGGGCTTCACGTTTTGAGAGCTCGATAATAATGGAACAAAGCTATACTTCATTCAACTTATTTTCTTCTGTTTAGCCAGACTGGCATCCAGGGTGGTTTACTTACAATATAAAAAATGGCAAAATTGTGGAAATCTGTCTGACAGATGGGAGGAGCAGAATTCACTTTTAGAGTGGAGACAACCTGTGCCTATGCTGGAAAGATGGTGTTAATTGGCTGGTACATTGAGAATGGGCAACAGATGTTAAACAGTGACATCCTTCCCATTGTTCCAAACCTCGTGTCCATTCTAGCCCTCACCCTACGGAAGTCGAGTTTCCTCCTGCCTGGGGAAATAGAGTTCCCTCACTCAGGCCAAGCTCTGGCTCTCTCCTCTCTGGACCTTCCCCTTCCTGAGAAGCAAGGAAAGAGGCTTGGGCCAGGGGAGGGGGAAGACAACGATGGTACTTGTCTCACTAGGCCTTCTGCTGACCATCTCATGGGTTATCTAGTTTAATAACTCAAAAATCTAACATTCTTGTGGTGGTGACTTGTACTACTTGTGTTTTTCTTCCTGGTATTTAAAGACTTTAAACTAAATGCTTCATTTTTTTTTTTTTAATAATAGTGTGTCGTATTCGTGCTGTCATGGATAGTTTTATTCCCCTGCTGAAGAGAGTTAGACTACCTGGTAAGAAGATACTCTTAATGTGATTTCACCCAATTCCACAATAGGACTGAGGATTCTTTTAGAATTAAATTTTTTAAAGTTCTCAGTCTGCACTTGAGAAGGAGGGAGGGTGATGAACAGGTAGGAAAAAGACAAACTCAAGGGGAAAAGGAGAATAAAATACAGGTATGAGAATGCAAAAAAGAGAGCTTCTGGGAGTGGAGTTCCAAATCTATTCCTCACAGCAGCTCTCAGGATCCCAAGAGTGTTGCACGGTGTTGCATGGCACACACAAGGTGCCACCCAGTATAAATATTCATGGTGGTCCAACTTGCTAAAACATCAGGACATGCAAATGTGGGAAATGAGATACAGGTGGTGAAGAAGCTGAGATACATCATATACAGTTCTCATACTGTATGTTGCTCAAGTGTAGTCATGCCAGAGAATGTCCAGCAAAAGGCTGTATTTGATCACTCTGCTCTTCATTCTGAAAGCACTGTGAGGTTGGTTCCACACAATGGTGGTGCTCTGGTTTGGCATTCAAACTAGAGAGGGTTGAAGGAGGGGATTGACATAGTCTTGTACTTCAGTTGTCCACTTTCTGTTTTGTCCTTGCTTTGAGGCTCTCTCCATAACTTCGTTTGATACAGAAAGATTGCAGTCAGAGTGCCACACACCATGCGGACAGAATTAAAAATGGATCATGTATCCCCTGTAGCCTGACACTTTACATACATGCATGTGCGCGCAAATGCTCTTGTGAAAGAAATCTGGAATAGCCAGAAAAGAAGATCAGGCTTTTTCAATGATGTTCTCAAATGACATGAGTTCAATCCATTCTATTAGTACTTTTCAAGCAGGCTTCGGACAGCGCTGGCTGTTCGGCTTTGAAACGGAGATGAGCACCGCACCCCTAGAGTCGGACTCGACTGGCTTTCGAGCAAGGGAACCTTTACCTTTATGCCCAAATGTAGATGCCTAGACCTACCAGGGTTAGTTGTCTTCCTAATAAACCAAGATTCTAAACCACAGTTGAATCCTGTTTAGAATCCCAGTGACTGAGTAAGAAATTAATCTAATTAGTCCAGATGTTTCACACTTAGGTAGACTAATAGGAAGGGCACCTGTCTTCAAGGTCAATGTACTTCGCAAGAGGAGGAAGGGGGAACATAATGCGCCTGGCAATTAGCAAGGAACTTCTCCATTCAAATTTTTTAAAGTAGCATCTGAATGCAACCTCAGCCTTTCCATCTCATATAGCAAAAAATACTCCCTACTTTATATTGCATGTGTAGTAATTACTGAGAAAATATACATGAAACACTTTGTACACCTGAAAGTACATTTGGGTGTATATATATTACTTAACTGGAGACAGCTATAATGAAGACAGGTGGCATGGACCAATCTCATGCATTCAGTGTATATTAAAACATTGTGATGTGCGAGCTGTTATTACACAGCAAGAAAATAACTGTTTTTCATAGAGCTCCTGAAATCCCTGCTCGTTTCCTTTAAGCATCTGAACTGGGGTTCCCAAAGTCCAAGCCGGGTCTGCAATCTACTTCTTCAAAGTTGACCCACTACTGATACAGCTACAGAAGAAGTTTTGATTTTAAAATTTATCTTCATTGCCTTCTATTATTAAAAATAAAGCAAAAGATACATGCATATTTCCACAAACACAGATTTATTTGTGATAGTGATACAGTCATTAAACAAGGTGGTAGCACTGCATTACCCAACATTTGAAAATAAGAATATGACAAGACTTTTCCTTCTGTTGGTTTTTACCATGTAGGTTTCAAGAAAACAACCTGAAGATTTCAAGAGAACTGAAATGAACATTTGGCCTTAATGTTAACAAGGTGTTTGATATACAACAACTGTGTATTAAACAAACAAATGTGGTTTTCTCTCACCTGGGGAGAAGAAAAACAGCACTCCAGTTGCCCCTTTCTTCTCTTTGGTGTAGGATGTGTCTAAGAGATAATGACTAGGTCTAAAAATTTCATTCCTGTCTCTTTTGTATAGATGGTCTGGTTCCACAGAGATCAGTCTACTTACTCCAACCTACCTAACTTGTATTAGGCCCTTAGTAGCTTGCCTTGACATTCTCCAAGTTTCACAAACAAAACGTTGAATGTCATTCCTGTGTCTCATCTAGATACTTGTACAGGAAGGTCACTTTGAGTGAGAGCTACCAAACAGAGGTGGCATTGGAGTGTTATGTGAGGCAGCTGTTTTTACACCAGTGGCATAGACCACTTTCTTAGCCCTCCAGTGCAACTGGAAATAAATCAGCCGATTCACACTGAGCCAATAGAGCAGTTTCAGCCTTTGGAGAAACTTGCCATCACTTGCTTTTAATTTCCAGTAATCGAAGTACAGCTTCTTCTAACATGCTGTATGATATGGGGGGGGGGTAGGTTTCATGCATTTCTCAGTCATCTGTTTTCTCAGAACCCATGATACAAAGGCTGCAGTCACACACACTAAATAATCCACTTTCCAACTGGATTTTGCCAGTTCACACAGTAAAAATGCAGTTGGAAAGTACACTGAAAGTGGATTACTTAGTGTGTGTGACCGCAGCCAAAGACTGAACCTTCCAGGCTACTAACAGAGGACTCGTAGGAAAAACTAGCAATAGCCACTGTTGCACATATTAGCCAACGCCTGTGTTGCAGGGGGTTTATTTAAAAGGGGGAGTTATATTAAGCAGTTTCTCAAAGTTTTGTTCATCTCTTCAGGAGCATTATAGGTGTAGCTACTTGTGCTGTAAATACCAATGTAAAAATCAGTGTTCTGACAGTTCTGTTGCTCGAAGTAGACTGATGTACCCTCATGTTTACAAGTCAGGTGAAGGTTAATCCCTTAGCGTTAGATCAGATGGTGTATAGGATCAAAATCAGATATAAAGACAGGTCAAATGTGATGTCATTCACATGAAAAAATTAAATGCCTTTTTACAGATCTTACATTTACTAAGTCAGTAGATACTCCTGTGTTTTAGGTGAGGCAAGGCATGGAATTGAATTATCCGGATCGCCCAGCCAAATAGGCCTTACCCTGAACTTTTGACTTACTGCTGTTCTTGCACATCTATTTTGAGCCAGTAGGGATACCTAGACTACACCCCCAACTGGATTTACCCAAGGTCTCATGGTCAGGACCTGTTATCGTTTTAACACATTTAAGGTTAATTTTGAAAAATTTGCTGAAAAGACTCTTGAAAGAAAATTAAACTAAACAATTTAAAAATTGCTTTCGTTGCTCTGCTACAAAAGAAATAAAATGTTCACCAAGATGAATGCTGCAGAATTTTGTTTGTTTTTTTTAAAAAGAACTAATGCTTATTATATGACACTGAATTACTATTAGCTGTACAGACCCTTCCCTTCAAACAGAAACACTGCTTTCCTCTAACTGATGATTTGCCAAGTGGCTGCCTATGCCGTCAAATACACAGGATCCCTGTGCAGAATCAGTTAGAAACAACTCCCTAAAACTGTAGCCAATCAAATTGGCACTGAATAATACCTTCTCTGTGAGTTTGGATTGTTCTTACCTCCCTATGTCATATGATGAAAAACTGATGAACCTCTAAAGGTAGGTCTAGCAATTGAAAGCCGCAAATAAGATTCTGGCAAAGGACAGGAATTCTCTTTGGGGGATGCAGATTCATAGTAGTACTACTATTTGTAGTAGCTAGTGGCTAACCATACTGGTGGGCACAGGAGCCATGTCCTTCAGCCCTCCTCATGCATATACACAGACAGGGACACGCACATAACAGAAACTAAGGAAATCTGTCTTTAAATGGGAGACTCCTAGGAATTATATGTAAAGCTGCTGGGAGAAAACACAGGATATAATGAATAATAATGACCTGTGCTCTTTTTCTCATGACGTGTGTCTGTTGCGCCCCCCCCTCCCCCCCGGTATTTGAGACTGTACTCAGGCTAGTAACAAACACTAAAGCTCAGAAATACCCAAGGACATATTGTCCATGGGTAAGATAGCTTTAAATCAGAGCTGGCTGAGCCACAGACTATTCCAACTGACAGCACTTATCCCAAGCAAGCAGGATCCAGAATGAAAACAAGGCCCTTGGCTCTTCTATATCAGCACGATTTATTATGCTCTACCTGCACAGAAGGTGTGCACAGTTCAGCATTCAGGAGGGGAAAGCAGGAACTGCTAGCATGTGAGAAAGGGGCATTAAGAAAATATGGAGCTAGGACAACAGTGGAGGAAGAGCACAGAAGGAAAACAGTCTCTCTGTTCTTGATATGAAAGACACACTACTAGATGGAAATGATGCATGTAAAGGAAGACCTGACTTATAATTTACTTTACAGAAAAGTGACAAACACTTTGAATTGGATCCAGCGTGAGGATCATGCAGGAAATGCTGATCTACCTGGCTTTCCTTCTCTCCAGCAGTGATCTCAGGCCCCAGGGTTACAAGATTAGCATGGAGCAGCAATCACATGAGTGGGGACAGGGTAAAATTGCACCCTTCCCTCTCGTCTGTCAGCAGTGCTCTTCTCAGATAAGAGGCAGGAGGAAGCTGCGATTTCACTCTCTCCCCTCTCCCCACTGCAGCCTCCTAACTTATATGCAGGTCCCATGACCCTGGGAATAAGAAATGGGTGCTGGGTCATGGGAGAGCAAAGAAGATCTGGATCGATTAGCACCTTCTGTTGATGGACTGCAAGATTATCTCAATTTGTGTATGCAGATTTCTCAAAATGATATGTGTGTTTACAGTGGGATATGAAGTTGTATCAAAAGTCATATCTTGTTTGAGGTAGGTAGGGGAACCAACTCAAACATAATTATCAAGGCTATTGTGCTGCCGTGGTCAGTGTTGTGGGTCTGAATGCAAGGGAGCCAGGTTCAAATCCCTGCATTTGACTCATGATGAAACTCAGATGGGCTTGAGAAGGTCACTCTACCTGTCAGCCTCACCTACCTGTAAAAGGACTGTTGGAATAACGGAGAAGAACTGTAAAGAATCTGCAAATGCAGAACGATGTTATTAAAGCCTGGTAATTAAAAATTCGGGGTGGGTGGGAGGGATCCTGAAAACGTTAATGTTTTTGTTTCCAGTTTCAGCGTGTAGCTTCCTAAATATCCTTTCACTCTAATTCAAAGCAGCTAGCAAAACAAGCAAGCACTATTTTTCTCCCAAAACTTTAATTTTTTTATTCAAATTCTGTCATTAAAACTCTGCATATCATTTTAAACATGTGTTTGAAACTTAACAATACTTGTTCCCCTCCCCAAACGCCGCTCCAGCGTAATCCAGCGGGCCTACAATTCAAACTACTCCGCATTCCTTGATTTGGACACTGCCATCTTCACAGCCTGAATAATGGCCTCCTTATCAATGCCGAACATCCTGAGCAGCTCAGCTGGCTTTCCACTTCTTGGTACGTGGGACACTGCCAAGCGACTGACCGTGATCCCAGGTTCTCCAACCACAGCAGCACAGACGGCCTCTCCAATGCCACCTAAGGAAAGATGATGTGCGACAGATAAGTCAAAGATTCTCCGTAAGCGGCTTAATGCTGCTATTTAAAAACAAAAACGAATCAAACGGTATGGAGGGCTCAAGACAGCACAGTGGCTTGCTCCTGTAAGAAGCTACTCCTTAAACAATCTTTCTTCTAAGAACAGGATTAATGCTTTGGAGGCACAATCCCGAGTAATAATCTTCAAGAGTCCATGTGGGGCCTCAGGACATAGGAGCTGTCACAGAAGATTCAGTGTCCTCACAATCTGTCCTTTGTAGAGGCACAGAGGGATGCATAAAATAGTGTATTATGCTCCCAACCTTACAATACTTTGCTGTATTAAAAACAAAAATGCTGATGGGCAGCTCCATCCACTAAAGTAGGATAGATGGTTGGACAGATGTACAGAGGGATCGATTTACCAATACATCTGATTCTCAATATGGCCCCAGTCTGTGGGTACTTAAATGCAGAGTCTGGGACCATGAACAGAGCAGACAGATCTGTCTAGAAACCTGAGAGAAGCCTCAGGTTTCTGGAGAAAACTGAGAACACACAGATATACACACATGAGAGGGGGAACCCCTCAAACTGCTAGGACTGCCTGTAGCTTTAAGAAATGAGTGCCCACTGTGGCCATTATGAGGCAACCACAACAGTAATGAAAGCATTCAATAGGGCTGTTTTGGCCCCTGAGGGAGGACTTGTTAGGGTCAGTCCCAGCAGCAACCACCAGGCAACTTGCTACCACACAACTTACATGACTCACCCGGGCACAGCTGCTTGCTACTGTTCAAGAGTGGCCACCACATGAATAGTGGGGTGGTGTAGTGTTAAAGTTTCAAACTAGGATCTGGGAGACCCAGGTTCAATTTACTACTCTGCCCTGGTACAACTGTGCTCAGGCTTGGCGGCCTGTACTGTACAACTAGACCCGATGGCTGGCACCATGCTACTCGACCAGAGTTTTCCTGGCTGCTGGGGGAGGGGGGCAGGAGGGAAAGCTAGAAAATTGGGGGGGGGCAGATAAAGGTGGGTTGGCTGGTGGATGGGAAGGAGAGAAGGAAGCAGAGAAAGAGGAAACGGGAGGAGGGGAAATGAGATGCTTTTGCAAGCCTTTGTAGTTTCCTCACTTGTCATTGGTTATGAAGCCAAATGGAACTTCAGGGATCAGAAGCAGAATGGGGACAGGCCTTGCTTGTGGGCTCCTCTGTGGCATCTGACAGTCTCATGTTGGAAATAAGAGGCTGGACTAAATGGGTTACTGCTCAGATCCAGCATGGTGGCTTTAATGCTCTTGTTTTCATGAACAGAGCCACATAACCTTGTGCTTGGATGTCATTAAGTCTCCCCCAATCACCAGATAATGGATGCGGTCAGACGGGCCATTTAGTCCGTGTTCAGCCCGCCTCAGAAACGGAATTTATCTGCGCGATCACATGGTCAACATCTGCCTCCTGTCCCTAGCCATCGCTTTTCAGCTCAAAACAGCTTTAACCCGGAGTATTTTGATACCAGGTCCCCAAGTGGTGTTTTCCTGATTCTCCGGTTCCAGCTGCATTTTTCCCCTTTGTGATTGCTCCTCTGGTGTTGAGCCACTTCTGATTTAAACCTCCTCCCCTTTTTGCCCGCCATTTTAAAAAAAGTGTTGGCGGTGTGCAGATAGGCGGAGGTCTGCCTCAGGGTTATTAAAAATAATGTTTAAATGGTGCCTAGTTTTAGCCTTTAGAAGAGTTTGGGATCTCACGGAGGCCATTTTCTGTGGTAAACGTTTAAAGGGAAGTATTACAGCAGTCGGGTTGAAGTGGAAATTGCTGTTCTGCGCAGGCGCGAAACTTTTAGTTCCACAGATGGCTGCCTGTGCGCAGGCCCAAAATGAAAGAGAGAGAAAAACAACAGTGCAGCAATCCGGAGCAGGGAGGTGAGTGTGATCGCGATTCTCCAGGTTAAAAAAGACCGCATCAGGGCCGGAGCAATTTAAACCGTTCCCAGCACGCCGTCTGACCGCACCCAATATGTTACAAAACACATTTGTATGTGTGTTACATTATATTCGAGGAGTTAGAGAACTTCAAATGACCGGTATCTATGAATTTGTATACTAAAAACACTTTGTTTTGTTAGCTTACCTTCATAATAATGGTCTTCCACAGTGATAATTCTGCCTTTGGTTGCTCTTGCATTTTCAAGTATTGTTTTTTTATCCAGAGGTTTTATAGTGAATGGGTCGATCACTCTGATGGAGATTCTTTCTGGAGAAGGGGAGTTAGAAGGCTTATTATGTAGTAGTAGGACACACAGCTCATCAAAATAGAAGCTAGGGAAACAGCAAACATCTGAAAAACCAACAGCATTTAACCTTTCATATAAATATTTAATGTATCCGCATGAAGCTCTTGGAAACTTCTGAATATTTGGTTGCAAAGATGATGAGAATATGGCCAAACTCTGGGTTGGAGAACCCAGAAAGCAACCACTTTGTATTTAACCCCCCCCCCCTTTTTGCCCGCCATTTTAAAAAAAGTGTTGGCGGTGTGCAGATAGGCGGAGGTCTGCCTCAGGGTTATTAAAAATAATGTTTAAATGGTGCCTAGTTTTAGCCTTTAGAAGAGTTTGGGATCTCACGGAGGCCATTTTCTGTGGTAAACGTTTAAAGGGAAGTATTACAGCAGTCGGGTTGAAGTGGAAATTGCTGTTCTGCGCAGGCGCGAAACTTTTAGTTCCACAGATGGCTGCCTGTGCGCAGGCCCAAAATGAAAGAGAGAGAAAAACAACAGTGCAGCAATCCGGAGCAGGGAGGTGAGTGTGATCGCGATTCTCCAGGTTAAAAAAGACCGCATCAGGGCCGGAGCAATTTAAACCGTTCCCAGCACGCCGTCTGACCGCACCCAATATGTTACAAAACACATTTGTATGTGTGTTACATTATATTCGAGGAGTTAGAGAACTTCAAATGACCGGTATCTATGAATTTGTATACTAAAAACACTTTGTTTTGTTAGCTTACCTTCATAATAATGGTCTTCCACAGTGATAATTCTGCCTTTGGTTGCTCTTGCGTTTTCAAGTATTGTTTTTTTATCCAGAGGTTTTATAGTGAATGGGTCGATCACTCTGATGGAGATTCTTTCTGGAGAAGGGGAGTAGAAGGCTTATTATGTACCATAGTAGTAGGACACATAGCTCATCAAAATAGAAGCTAGGGAAACAGCAAACATCTGAAAAACCTACAGCATTTAACCTTTCATATAAATACTTATTTCATGTATCCGCATGAAGCTCTTGGAAACATCTGAATATTTGGTTGTAAAGATGATGAGAATATGGCCAAACTCTGGGTTGGAGAACCCAGAAAGCAACCCGGCATGATCAACTGTGCCATCACAATCTCCAGATACCCATATATGCTGAGGTAAGGTCAGGACCGAGTTTCCTTGCAGCCAGAGAAGCAATTATTTCAAAGGATTACACTATGTCCTAATGGGTATGAAAGAGGGGGTGGGTGGGAGTTAAACACTGCCTAGTTTATCAAAACTCTCAATAGTCCTAAGGAACAAAACATGATGTCAAAATCAGAAACCTGATGCCCTATTCAAATTTAGGCATGTTACACTTGTGATAGGGAGACACTATGCTGACTTTCCCCCCATCAATCCTCCTATCAGAAATAATCTCTCACTCACTTTGACTGGCCACAACAACTTAAGGATCTGTGATAAAAAGAACAAACACAGATCTAAGCAACAATCTGGCTGTAAGAAGTTAGCCTACAGAATATCTGAATAGTAAGTTCATTAAGAGCTTGCTAAAAGAAGGTAAAGGTAAAGGTTCCCTTGCTTGAAAGCCAGTCGAATCCGACTCTAGGGTTGCGGTGCTCATCTCCGTTTCAAAGCCGAAGAGCCAGCGCTGTCCGAAGATGTTTCGGTGGTCATGTGGCTGGCACGACTAAACACCAAGGCGCACGGAACGCTGTTACCTTCCCACCGAAGTGGTACCTATTTAGCAATTTCTTGCTTTTGAACTGCTAGGTTGGCAGGAGCTGGAACTAGAGACGGGAGCTCACTCCGTCATGCGGCACCCAGGCAGGGCCGGCCCCAGCTTATTTTGCACCCTAGGCAAGGATCCCTTCTGGCGCCCCCCCCCCCAATTTTCAAAAATAGAAGCGGGGACCCTGAGGTCGCCCCCCTCCCATGCCAGCCTGGCCTGTTCTTGCCCTCCAGTCCCCTGTTTAGAAGCAAACCCACCGCCTCGCCCCGCTCTAGCAAACAGCTCGGCTGTTTTAACTTTCTCAGAGCTGGAAGAAGCTCCCTGCCCTTGCCAACAGAGAGCGGCGCCCAGACATCCGCCGGGCGGGACTTGAGCCAGCCTGCCGTCAGAGGTGCCCTATGCAGCCCACTGGGATTGCTCTGGAGTAACTCCGCACAGGGTTGCGCTCCCGCAGAATCCCAGGCTGTGCAGGGATCTCAGCAAACGCTTTTAAAAAATTAGGAGGAAAAAAAAGAGAAGCAAATTGAAGCATCTTGTAGGGGGGAAGGTGTTCCGCCCAGTCCTGCGGCGGAATTGGTGGGAAACCTGCAGTTTTCTCTACGAGTCCTGCCCTCCCCTTTTTAAAGGGAAAAAATTGAGTGGGGCGAGGATAAAATACTTCTAGCTTAGTTTTTACCTACTACCACCCCGCTATTTAAGATAAGGAGGA